GGGAGAAAAGCACACAACCGGTTGGAGAAGGGAAGTTTTATTGTGGGTGGATCCTTGGTAAGTTGCCTCTGGGCATCCGGTCAAAACTGGAGCTTTCCCGCCTGTTTACCCTTAGAGGGCCCAGGCTGGGGCGCAGGCCGTGATTGCCTTTGTGGGTGCTTTTTATAGTCCCTTGACTTTTTATAAGGGGGCTCATATCTGGAGTGGGTGGCCTAAGTGGGAGCCTGCTGTGGTTTGAACTTGGTCCTGGCCAGGACCAGGACACAGAGGCCAAGGGTCTTTAATGTCATGCGGGAGTCCTTCAGACTGTGTAACTTCACATCGGTTTGTTCCGCAAACAGGGCCTTGCCATCAAACGGAAGGTCCTGTAAGGAGTTCTGTCTGGGTTGTTCAGCGAGGCACAGAAGGAGCCACGGTGCTCTCCTCATGGACACCGCGGAGGCCATAGACCTTACAGCTATAGCCGCGTCATTCGAGGCTGCCTGAAGGACTGCCCTGGCGGCAGCCATGCCCTTCTCAACCAGAGCCTTGAACTCTTTCTTAACACGCTCCTGGAGGGAGTCTGCAAATTTGGGCAGGGAGTGCCACAAACTGAAATCGTATCTACCCAGCAGGGCTTCGTTATTCGCAACCCTCAGTTGGAAGCTTGAGGATGAATAAATCTTTCTACCAAATAGATCTAGTCTCCTCGAGTCCTTATTTTTAGGAGTAGGAGCGAGTTGACATTGCTGCTCCTTATGATTGACCGACTTGACCACTAGAGAGTTGGGGGCAGGATGGGTATACAGGTGGGCACGAAATACTTCCGTTCTGCCCTCTTAGAAATGGGGGGCAAGGAACACGGGGTGTGCAACAAGGCATTTGAGATTTGAGATCTTTGCTACCCCTTCATGGAATGGGAGAGACACCCTGGCCAGTGCCGAGAGGACGTTGAAGAGGGAGTCCAAGGGTTCATCCACTTCCTCAGCTTGTAGGTTGAGGCTTGATGCCACCCTTTTCAACAGCTCTTGGTGGGCTTTCGTGTCCTCCTGCGGTACTGGTGGAGGAGGGGCCGTGATCGCCTCATCTGGGGAGGATGAGGATGGGGGTGCAGTACTCTGCGTCCCCACGGGTGCCACAGGTCCCACCACTTCTGAGTGCAGGACCGGGGATGAGCGCTCCACTGACTCCTTTCTGGGAGGCCGAGAGAGGGAGGCAGACGGTCTTTCCGAGGCTCCAGCCACCGAGTAAGCCACCACCAGGGGCTGTGTCGGGGCCCACGGGGCCCATTGGTACCATGGCACTGGTCAAGGAGCCCGGTGCCACTGCACTTGCTGTGGAACTGGCGGAGCGGGCTGTCCAGCCTGAGTAGCCTGGCCCATCGACTGATGATTCCGAAGCGAGGCTGGGCTGGCATACGATCGACCGCTATCCCAGGACTGGGACGAGTGGCGGCATCAGGAGTGGTGCTGAACGTGTGACCATGATCGCGGTGTGGAAGAGCAGTAGTACTGCCAGTAGCGGCTGTTCCATGACCGGCTCTGACATGCGGATCCGTGACAGCGAGGTGCCAGTGATCGATGCCTGGGACTGCGGGAGCGGTGTCGCGGTGGGGACCTTGAGCGAGATGAGGAATGGGAACGGTGATGATGTCCATACCGCAAGGGGCTACAGTACCTTCTCGGAGACAACGTCCTCCAGTGCCATCTGTCCCGGTCTTGGCAGCGCACGCTCTCCTCGCAAGCTCTACGTTCCCTTGAGGCAGAGTGGTGCCTGGAACCCCTGCCGGTTGGTACCCAGCCAGACAACCTGGTGGGGGTCGATGGGGACCGGCGGGGACTGCGCACGGGGCTGTCACTGAGCAGGGAATGGCATCAGGAACCTTCCTTTGACCGTAAGCGGTACCGTCCAGGCGGTGACTGTGGGGGTCCGAGCAGTGGCTTACCTCTGGACCGGGGAGCCGACAACGGCGGTGATACTGGTAAAGACATAACGTCTCGAGCCACCTGCAGTGCCTCCAGTGTGGAGGGCACCCAAATGTGGCCACTGGTGTCTGGGGAGGTTGGCTTGGAGTGGGCCGGGCTACTCGGCTCAACTTGAGTTGGAAGCCACAAAGCCGATGGGAACTGAGAGCTGCCCAATGCGGGTCTAGTCTCTCTCCCAGTCTTGCTCCGGTGCCTTGGCGGGGAAGACATCTTCTTCACCTTTCTAGAGTGTCTCGTGGACGGGGAGTGGTGCCGACTGGTGGAGGGCACCTCTGGGTTGCTGCGCACTGATGCCACGGTGCTCAGTGCCAACTTGGAGCAGTGTCGGGGTCAGGGCCAACTACATCAAAATGGCTCGGAGCTGAATGTCCCGCTCCTTCTTGGTCTGAGGTTTGGAGGATCTGCAAATCTTGCAGCGGTCGCTGAGATGGGTTTCCCCACACAGCATAAACAGTCCATGCACAGATCACTCACGGGCATAGGCCGTTTGCAAGTGTTGCATGACAAAGCCCGGGGCACAGGGCATGCCCCGACCCAAACGCACTTAACTAAGTCTAATTAAAACTTTTTTTTTTTAAATAAACTATAGGCACTACCAACTATGAATTAACAGAGGCCAAGAGGGAAACCTACAGCAGAGCTGGAGCAGAGCAGTTCCGAAGCACCTTCACTGGTGGCAAGAAGGAACTGAGGGTGGCGGAAGTGCGCAGTGCCCCTTATACCGCGCCACAGCAGCGCCACCCCAGGGGTGCTCCCCTAAAGGTACTGCTAAGGGGGAAAACTTCCAGCACCGGTGCACATGGCATGCACGCACACCTATTGTGGAATACACATGACCAATCACTTGAAAAAGGAGCTCAAATTCTGAGATAGGTTATCATGAATGGGGCAGGAGGTGGACTATGAAACAACGACTCTCAGATGTAGCCTGTGCTAGGAAAACCTTTAAGAACCCCTGTAAGTGCTACAGAGGAGCAAGACTCCTGACTACTATATGCAGGCAGGTGGGGGGAGGAGAGAGAGAGAGTGTGTGATTTTATAGGCAAGGCATTTAACTTCTGGGATTCAGTTTACCCAGATATACAATGGGTAGGTATCCTACCATACTCTATCTCACAGAAACGCACTGGGAGGCTTAATAATCTGTAATTTGTTTTTAGACCCCTAGACGAAAAGAGCTAGGCACACATAGATTAATGAAAAAATTACTCTATTTTAATAATCTGTCTTCAAGATGATGGAAAAAACCACAAGCCCATATTAACTAATGTGCTCTTCAGGGATTTTAGCTGGGATTAAAGCTAAAAATTCTGATTTTTTTCTGTTTAACTTACATTTAATATTAAATCTAAGTATATTCTGAGTTTTTGTTAGTCAGACTATCATCCCTCTAAGGCTAGGTCTACACTATCCGCCTGAATCGGCGGGTAGAAATCGACCTCTCGGGGATCGATTTATCGC